CCCTTCCGACCCTAAATCTATGAAACTATGAAACTATAATTACCTTGCATGTGTGGTCGGCTAAGTTTATTGTGCGATTCACCAGGAAATAGTGTCATATATGTAACGTATAGCAGGGGCCTTTGTGCATAGCAGCCCTGATCAGGATGTTGCCTGGTACCGATTTGGAGCTGGGTTTTTTTTTTCAAATTAGGGACAAAAGCCCCCTTTCAGTGCATACCCCCAAGCTGGGCCTCTAGAAGAGTGTTTCTTAACCTGTGGGTCATGACCCAAAAGTGGGTCACAAGAATATATGAAAGGGCCACGGACAAACTGTAAAAATGGATCAACAAACTTTCTCTGTTAAAGGAGAAAAATGTAGGAAACCATGGCTTTAAGGGCTGCTTGGGGCCCCCCAGGTCCCACACATGCCACCCCCTTCCCCACATACCCACCCCCTGCTCCACACACTGGGGGGCTGGGGGCACAGGGCAGTGGGTTGGGAGTGAGGGGAAGGACTGGCCATCAGTGTTTACAAGTGGGTCCTGGTACAAAAAAGGTTGAGAACCGCAGCTCTAGAAAATACAGGGTGGTTGCTCACTTTAAGCAGGAGAATTGCTCCCATTAAAATGGTCTGATGCCACTCAAGAAGTTTATGCCTTCAGCCAGCATGCAGTGAAAACCAGACTGGCCTTGAATGGACCCTGTGGAAGCTGGAGAGTGAAATGCAGCATCTTCAGTGGCTCCAGATTTATGTTTGGGCCCAGTTGAGAAGGATCTTGATCTTCTCTGAAAAGCTCTCCACATTGTCAGCCTCCAACCCGAGGCAAAATAAGTAGCTCAGTAACTGGAGTGATTAAATTGCCAAGATAACAGAAGCTGAAAGCTGCAGGCTTCCAAAGGCAGTCATTGCCCAGCTCTATGCCCCTGACCTCTGCTGCACCATCTTCTTTGAGTCCCCGAGTTGTCTTTCCTCAACTGCACATTCCAAATAAATGTTTAAAGCAATTGCCAGTGTAACAAAGGCAGATGCCATACTGATGTCTACAAAGACCCCATCCCCAGGAAATATTTGTCTGTCTCTACTCAGTGCCTGTTTTTATTTCCCTAAAAGCTGCTTTTAGCTTCTCCTGGTATATCATTGTGCATTAAGTTTAGTACTGGTATAACCAAGTACTAAATCAGTGTGCAGTAACTGGTAGTACTGTGCAGTAGCACCGGCGCATGGCTTTTTAGTGACACTAACTGCGCAGTAGCCTAGTACGACTGTGCAATAGCATATTAGCAAGGTTTTTGCCTTGAATGCTTCTGCTCGGTAGCATTAGGCTACTGTGTAGTTAGCATCTCATGTAGACGCACCCTGTGTGATACATGTTGAATGTGTTATTCTATCATTATAGAGGCTGCCTTCTATTTAGGGACCTACCTAGCAGTGGTAGCAAAAGCAAAGAGTTTTAACAATGGAAAAAAAAATCAGTGTGAAAGACATTTGTATATAGGTTGTATATGTAATGTACATAAATATTCATTTAAAACGTGTTTCATTAACCAGATAATTTGATTTTTAGGAATGGGTTTTGGTCCCAACTGGTTGGAATGATTGCTGCTCTATTCTATTTACCTCTGACGTAGAGGCTGCCTAGGATATAGTCATAACTGAGCTGAGTCCCCTGGATAAAAGCCAGGTGTTGACCAAGGAATGATGTGGTGTGTTGAAAAGGATGTGCTGTCTATATGACCTGGTTACAGGGGATCCAGGGGGAACGTAGGTAAGAGCAGGGGTATGTGGCCAGAGCCTGACTATGGTGGCGGTTGCCCATACAGATAGATCAGATAACTTGCAGCAATTAAGGACCTGCCTACAGTTAATGCATGCACTGAGTGGGCATGCTGATATGCCATGATAAGAAATGGCCTGAGCCAGTACTCAAACCTGGGGGAGTCTGACATCGCTGGGGTTTCCTGGCAGATGGGTGCATTTCCAGCTGTACCCAGGAGATGGCAGAAGTACTTCAAGCACATAGGTAGGTCATAGCTTGGAGGTTTCAATCTATTTCCCAGGTAGATTATAACAGATTTGCATAGCAAGAGTTTATAGGAGTTATTTCATCCACCTCTGCGAGCCAAGGGAGGCTCTCTTGTTGTCACTAGGAAGGTCTGGTTAATTTAGAGCATGGCTTTATGCTGTATGTGCCAAGTGAAAAATACTTATCAATGGTTCCAGCAGCAATGGGTTCAGCTCATGCTATGATTGTTCCAGGGTGGAGTACTGGAATCCCATGCACTTTTGCATGTGCACACGTGTGTGTGTGCGTATGCGTAGTTCAGATAAGATTTTACAAATGACCTGGGTCCCCTCTGCTCTGTTTGGATATTGTACCTCCCCCTGTAGCTTAACCACTCCCGGCCCGCAACTTTGCCTAGTTGTATGGTCAAAATATTCCATCCTTGTACAGCTGTGCATCAGACTGTATATTAGCTGGGTCCTGCCCCCCCAGCAGAGAAGGCTGTGTAAAAGCTATACTGTGTGTATCTACTTAGCGAAGCACATTGGGATGAAAAGGCAAAATATTATCACCATTAATATCTTTCTGCATGAAATCAATAGTCCCAGGAGCTAGTGTGAGTGGGAAAGTAATAAAATCAATATCCTGAATGTAATTAAAAAAAACACAAACCAGAAATGCTTCCTTTTTCCTCTCCAGTGGAGGGCAGCAGTTCAGCACGTCTGTGAAATGTCTACAGCAGTTGGCTCACTAACACATTAACACAGCTATAATTCCCCAAAACGTCAATATAAGGGGCCCTGACCAAGAATGTCTTGCATTTTAAAGCTTGTCTCACTCTATCCTCACTGTATAGCTGCTCCAATAAAAGATATTATCCTAAGAAATCCTTGCTCTTGCACAGTAGAAGCGGGGGGGAAAAGAGGAACAAAGTCAGAGGTCAATCTCAGAGTTGAACATGTTATTATAGAGGCTGCCTTCTATTTAGGGACCTACCTAGCACGTGGGGGATGTATATTATCTCTGTTGACTTCCCTCAGCTGTATTGTCGACTTCACAATGCCCATATCATTTGAAGGCCGTCTCAAACCAAAGTACATACTGCCTCCACACACTTGACTCCGATTTGCCTTCCAGAGTTTTTGCTGCTATCTCCATCATGAGCCATTTTTTATTATTGCAGGGGTAGATAAGAAACTAGGCTGGGGCAGCACGTCCTCCGCAGATGCTGGCTTTGCAGAGGCAGCGATGATTCCTAAGCACCCAGGAGCCAAGCGCACGTTCTTACAGAGTGGTAAAAAAAGCCAAGACAAAGTGAGCAGCTTTAATTACAGGCGCATCGCAAACCTATCTGTAGTCCTCCACCTCCATCCAAAGCAGGCTAGTGTACTGCAAGCCAGAATGATCCTTGGCATAATTCCATTGGTTTCGGCGGCATTATGATTCTCGCCCAATGGGTGCTGTTAGAGAACTAGAGATACGCCAGTGAAAAGCAGGAAGAACAGGAAAGTTGTTATTAGAAATCAGGCCCCCTGGGGTATTAAGAACTACTTATTCGAGTCAATGTAGCACACACCCATAGCAGGGCGTAGCTCTGAACATGCCATTTGGACATGCATGTTTTGATGTTGCTTCCTTCAGTACTGCTCTAATATTCTCTTGGGTAGGCCAGCAATGATACACCGGGACCGTCGATAAACTTAACAGGTATAGCCAAGTGCATTAGGCCGTAAGAAACATCCTAAATAATAGTTCCTCACTTTTTAATGGTGTTCAAAGAAACCACGGGCGAATCCAGAAGAACTGCTGCTTTTGTAGCTGCACGGGGTTGGATTCAGAGGAGATGGTCTTTGCAATCTGCATTAGCAGTCCATGTGGGTTCATTGTTCCTGCACACTCCACTATCAGCTTCTGTTTCTCCTCCAGAAACCTTGGATGGGAGCTGACTCCCAAACAGGGAGAGGACGTGTGAACGACAAGCACGGAAGAGTCACACAAGGCTTGTCCACGCGGTGACAGATTGAATGCAAGAGGCAGAAGAAAATTATGGGTGAGATTTTAAAGAGGCTGCCAAGGAACTTTGGGTTGAGAGTTCAGCTTTGTAATAAATAAATAGATCATGAATTAGAGGAGCGCCTCCCTGGGTGTTATTTGAAAGTCAATGAGCGTGATCATAACTGTTGTCTCTGCTGGATGGAGATAAAAGATGACTCTGTGCTCACAGCACCGTGATTCTGGGGCCCTGGGTTTGAGTTCTGCTCCTGCCACAGTCTCCTACCTGCCCTCGGCGGTGGGCAAGGCAACTCAGCGCCAGATTTCCACGAGGCCTCAATGGTCGCTCTAGCAGGAGCAATTCTGACAAGCTCGTCACTTCCCAGTGTTCAGAGGGGAGCTGTAAATTTTGCAAAGCTGATCTCCACCGGCGTGGAGGGAGTCCTGCTGTCTTTCTCCCGGCCTTCCAGCACCTAGCACAGCAGGGCCCTGATATTGGAGGTGGTCCTGCGGTACAAAAAAAAAAGACTAATGGAAAATGAAGCTGGGTTTAAACAGGAGGGATGCCTCAGTTCCATCTTAGTCTGAACGAGGCAGCCCTCAGCCTCTGGCATATTAGGAAAGATAGTTTCTTTTTAACTGGAGGAAGACGTGTGTGGGGTCATATGGGGTGATGCACCTCGCTCTCGGCACCCCCCTTGTCAAAACCCTACATCTATCCATGTGGACAAGCGCTGCAGTGGCCCCGAGGATTCCTCGGGCACTACCTGCCATTGGGATAGACGCAGAGGAGCTTCCTGCGGCCAGGCACCCCCTCCACCAGGTCTCCGATCTGATGCTGTGGGAGAGCACAGCTCAGTGAAGGCGGCTGGGAGTGTGGAACCTCCCTTTTGGGTGTCCCGGGAGAAACCCGATGCCCCAAAAATAAAATGGATGGGAGGCAGGTGGTTGCTTGCAAGTGCCCCGAGAACTTGGGAGCGCCCCAGGGCCGTTCCCGGAGGGCAGAGGGAGGGAAGGGTGAGGGGCAGGGGCAGCCGGACAGAAAGGGGGCCTGAAAATGGTGCAAATCATGATTATTATTGTTATCTCTGGCGAAGGGGGGCCCAATACTGAAAGTTCACCTGGGCTGCCAGGCGTCTAGGTACGGTACTGGTGCGGGGATGAGGGTGGGAAGGGAGAAGGAAGGACAGAAAAGAGTGAGGGACAAGAGGGAGGGAAAAGTGAGAGAGGGGAAGAGGAAAGGAAGAGGGCAGGGTGAAGGCGAGAGGAGGGAAACATGAGTGGGGTGCGGGAGAGGGAGGGGCTGGGGGACAGGGGGAAGAGGCAAGGACAGAAAAGAGCAAGGGACAAGTGAGGGGAGAGGGCGAACGGGGAGGGCCCGAGGCACAGGTGGCCGGGGAGGGAGCGCCGCCGCCGCAGCAGCCCCGGCCCCTTCCCCGGCGAGGAAGGAAGTGGGCGGTGGGAGGCGCCGCGCTCGCACCACCCGCGCCCGCCCGCCGGAC